ATCATATTAAACCTAATGCAATATCCTTAGAAAGACGTTGAAAAGTAAAATTCAAATGCATTAATCCGATTTGCTGTTAGAACGTGAATGATTTCAAAATATGAAATCGACCCGTGCGCTTAATGGACCTGTATCGGAGCGCCAATAAAACATTTAACCAATCACAACAGGGCGCTGTATTACGCGCTTGTCCCCCAAACGCGCATACGTAAGTTTTATGAAAACTTGCACTAATATCTAAGGGGCTTACCGGTACCCGGTTGATTAACTGCATGACTAAAATATGCCACTCCTTGGGTGAGGGTGGAAGGGCGGTTGGAGGGGATCGAACAATGGATGTATCCAATGTCCCAGGGAAATAATTAGTGTGATGAAACAAGTAGGCCTATTTGAAGAAATACCAATGCTATATTAACATTTTATAGGCTAGGTCATTATCATTACTGATATTGTTATCATTTTTTATGTGAACAGTGTGAGACCGACAAAGACTGCTGCGTTGGACACTGTTCTTTTAATCAGTGTAGATCATGCAGAGGAGATTTAAATCTAGTAAGTTTTTTTTTTCATAGTAATTGAAGTTATTTTTGTTTTACATAAAGAAAGGGAAAAAGAACATATCATTATTCGTAAAGTGATTTACGGTATACCTCCCTAATTTTCTCTTACTGAAAGTGTTCTTATAATATAATCCGTTAAGTACCGGTACTTGCCCCAATACACATGTTAAACAGGAGAAAGTTACGAAATTACAATGAAAACGTGCGATGAAGTTTGTAAGGACATTCTATAAGGCCCATAGTGAACAAACATGTGGTTATAGAAACTCTTGACATATACTTTTAATATATACAGTACATATTGTGTGTGTTAAGATTATGCACGTTATAATGGATCCGTTTAATAAGATCGATAGATCTGTTGAAAAGGCCTATATAACACATGTTCTTTTTTAGTGTACTGAAGATGCAGAGTGCTGCTCTGGAAAGTGCCATGATATCGGATCCGGCTACAGCACATGTACTTCATGCAAAGAAAAAGCTACACAAGTAAGCTAACTATGTTTTGTGCAGTTATCATTAATTACCAAAAATATAATTTGTTGCATATTTTATTCATTTTATTCATTCACTATTCATTCGATATTTAATTGCAACAATGCATAATGATAATAACGACATAATATTAAAATTTATTGTTAAATATCACTTAAATATATAATAGGTGTTGTTACGTATATACACAAATCAATTTAAAAGATTACTGTTCAATTTTTCTTAATCCTTTTCCTAATCCTAATCTGTACAGTTGTTATTAATCCAGTCTTCTTGCTCATTTTTTACTAATCCCATGTCCTTGTGCATAATTTTTTAATAATCAAATCTCTTAGCTTAGCGCATTTTCATAACTATTTTAAAACGCGCCAGTATGCACGAATATTTTTGTTAATCCCTTATTTATTTGCGTACATTCTGTTTAATCCTTTTCGATCTGTGCGAGTATTTTTTTACTGATCACCATCAGACTCTCATTATAGTGTCTAAAGGATTCTGATTGCTGTTCAAATAATTGTCGTAAGGTCAATGGTCAAATGGAATGTGTCGTCTGCTCCTTACCGAGTGATTTGGTAAGCGCGCTAGATGATGATAATGATGTTGAATTCAATATTAACATGGATATGCGTGTCAAGCAACGGTTGCTAACATGGGTTTCTTCTGCAGATGAAGTTTTTTAGTAGATGTTTGTTGTTTTCCGAGGCTTAACCGTCAGAAGTGTTGCACTTAGAGGCCTGCAACAAACGTTGGTTATTCTCCATCCTGTTGTGTTGTGTTTGTCATATTATTTTCATCTCTATGTTAGTATTCTGAACCTACCTCTCTTTCTTCTCTATTTAGTTAGTTTAGCTATTGTGTTACCTAAACAAGCGCATGCATTCTCTTCGCTCTCACCCGATATTAACAGAAGCATTCATTCTCGAAATCAGAATACAATAGAACCCCATAAGGGGACACATTTGGGACTGAAAAAGTGTCCCCTCAATATGGGTGTCCTAAATGACGGGTTCTATTGTATAGATACGACAACCCCATATTCATATCTTACTATAAAGTTTGGTGTAGAAGGTAGCACATGTGTGTTTGTGTCTGTGTATGCAATTTGTGTACGACCGGGGGTATAATATAACAAGCGCTTTCTTATATTACTTAAAATAAATATTTAAATTTCAACCAATTTATCTTTTCTTGTACCAGTGTTCCCAGGGAAGTGAATGTTGCTCCGATATCTGTCGGCCGTGGTTTACAGGGGGAGACAATCGATGTAGTTGTAACGCCGTTGGTGAAGGGGTTAGTATTATGTCATTTAAATTTACAGTATTAAAAAATAGGCCTTAATAATTCAACATATTTATAAATGTAGTCTATAATGGACGTACGCTTAATTAATAAATCACCATCATATATCCTTCTTATCATCATCGTCATCATTCACTATTATCACCATCATCAACATCATCATTACCACCATCAATCGTCGGCAATCATCGTCGTCGTCATCAGGGCCGCCAAGGGAAAATTTAATAGGGGCAAGGGTTGGTGTTGGCCCCCAGTTACGAGCGCCAAGTGCGAGAAAGATTTTTTTTTTTTTTTTTTTTTTTTTTTTTGGTGTTGGGGAGGGGTTGGGGCTGTCAACCTGGAGGGGCTCATTATTAAGGGACCCATTGAGTGCTCACGATATTTGAAAGAATATTGAAAAAAAAATGCTACCTGCAATTTCTATGGGCCTCTCAGTTGGCACTGGTCGTCGTCATCATAATCATCGCCATCATTGCCGTCGTAAACATTATCATAATCTTCATTTTAATATACTAATTGTATTCGTTCTCTCTCTCAGTGCAAATCCAACGCCAATTGCTGCTCTGGTATCTGCAACCAGACTTACAAGCAATGTCAATCTGTCGGTAGCTACGTCGGCTGAGACTACAAGCATCAATGCGTCAGATCTACTAAATCTCATCAGTCTATTGAAATATCTATCTCTACTGAAATTTTAATGAATATCAATGAAAACATTTTTAAAACAGTACTGAAATATTTTGTATAAATGTAAGCAACATAATCAGTGGTGGATCCAGGAATTCAAAATAGGTGGGAGGGGGGTGCAAGGAATCTAGACCATCTCAGCCCCGCCCCAGGTTTGGTGCTTTAGGTAGAAAATTTATGAATAAATGGCACTCTCAGACTTAATTTTAAATACTGTATAATTTTCTATTTTTAAATAATTTAAAAAACGTTAAGGCCGGCTGCCCCCCCCCCCCCCCCCCCTTTCCACCTTTTTTTTTTTTTTTTTTTTTATTTTTTTTCTCCTTTTTTTTTTTTTTTGTACTTGTAGCTAAGAATTTTAATTCAGTTTGAACGCACCAAATGATTTTGAGTGCCACCGATCTAAAGGTGTATGTTCTAATAAATGATCATATATGAAGC